ACGACGGCTTAAACGCAATGCCTTTGCAAACGCGCAGATGATATCCGGCGCCGAATCTCTTCTTCAGAAACATAGGAGAACCGCAACACTTGACTCTTCCCTCAGACATAATGGCTATTCTGTCGCCCAAAACCTAATCGTAAAAAACACAAACACGTTATTAATCACTCGTTATAGTGAACACAATGGCGAGACATACATCCGCTTCTTCCATATAATGTGTGGTCAATAGTATGGTTCGTTCGCACCGTAAGTACTGTAAGAGATCCCATACGACACGTCGGGCCTCGGGGTCCATACCAGAGGTGGGTTCGTCGAGAATGAGTATCCGAGTGCCGCCCACTATAGCGATGCCGAGCATTAACTTGCGTTTCATACCTCCGGACAACGATTCTGCCATTGCGTGCATTTTGTCCGACAGTTTCAGCATTTCTAACGTTTGTTTCACTTCAATGTCCACCGAATCCCAGTCACAGCCCTTCAGAACGGCATACAGTTTGAGATGTTGTCCGACTGTTAACTCATTAAATATAATGTTTTCCTGTATTTTAATAAACAAAATAAACTCAATTAATAAGTCAATCATTACATGACATATCAATGGCAGACCTGCGGACACAATCCAATACTTCGTCGCGCTTTATTGGTCTCGGTTTGTATGTTATAGCCGTCGACGTGAACGGTGCCCGATGTGGGCGGAAATATACCGGTAATCATATTCATTGTAGTGGTCTTTCCGGCCCCGTTATGGCCCAACAGAGCCGTGATTTGTCGTCCGTATATATTGAGCGACATATTGTCGACGGCTGTCTTGAGTTGACTGCCATAACCGCCGAACTCTTTATGCAAATTCTTGATCCTTATAGAGACCGACACTTCGGGCTCTCTCTCAAAATTTCTGGTATCGATCACATCATCCGTTTTCAACGATTCATTGGTCTCTTCTTCGATGTCGTGGTATTTCGCTGGAAACCAATAAGACATGTAAAACGGGAATAACACAGGTTTGGGTACTCCGTATTGAAAGGGCCACACATTGTCTAAGTACCAGATGAGCACAGCGTATAAAACACACGACAATAACATTATGGTCATCACAAGAGCCAGCGTTAGGCTCTGATAGACGGTCGTGTAATTAAAGATTGTGGACCAGTTGGCGCCGGTGCCCAACACTTCAAACTGACCCATAATAGACATACACCACGAGAGGCCCATATTGGGCAGCATTGCGGACATCATTCGGGCCCCGTTTGTGCCCACGATATCCATATTCTTGTGGAAAAACGGATTCAATATACCGATCGGTACGGAATAAGAGACCACCCATAAGATGACGGTCACGATCACCGCCAGAACGGGTCGATTGAATATTGTGGTGATTGTCATACAAAACAGAATCGATTGAATACAGTATATTAATAGTATGGCAAAGAATATGGTTGCGGAGGTAAAGTTGATGATAGGGTCGCCGCCGAAGCCCATACAGAAGAATGCGGTGAATACTATCGACTGAAACACCATTATTATGAAGTATGAGATGAAGTGAGACATCCAGAAGACCCAATCAGACATTCCGATCATTCGCATCATCTCTTTAGCTTTGGCCACCTTTTCGTCGGTAATGCGTTTGACAATCAGCGGACACATCACCACATATCCGATGGCAATGGTGGCCGCTATCAGGTCTTGCATCGTAAACAATTGATTTTCATCGCCCGACTTCTTGAAGCCGGGAAACGGGTATTTCATTGTCATAAAGCGACGGATATTGACTCGTTTGGTGTGGGACTCGGTTTGTTGGTCAACAAAGGCCTTGTTTATCAAGATCTGAATGGGACCGAAATGCTCGGTATATGACTTCATATTAGCCGCCGGTCCCGCGAAGAACTTATTGGGAAACATAATGTTCACAATGTATGCCATTTCGCCGATCAGTCTTAACGTATAGTTGAGACGATTGTTTCGCAACGAATTTTCATCAAATATAAGGCCGTAAGTGTTGTCCACAAGATTGGTGTCAATTGTCTCGTTGGAGACCAAGGACTCCATCTTCGCGTTCACCAGCTCTTCGGTAGCCATACCTACTATACGGACAGTATAGGGCGCAAAGTCGACCACCTTTTGCATGAGCCGATCGGCGGCCGGACTCGTGGGTCCGTAGATGATAGTGGCCTCAAATATAAGTTGATTGTTAAATGTCATGTCAATTGTGGGTCGATTGAAGATCACAGGAGGACTGTCTCTGACAGAAGTACTCGTGTTTTGATTATTCACTTCCTGGCCGTCAAAACTGGACGACACCTGACCTGTCATTTGCTGCGATGAGAACTTCGCGTAGACATAGGCGATGAGGAATGAGAGGACCAGTGGTGTCAACAATTCAAATATCGTTGATATCCAGTGTCTTCGCCGAGTGATCCACGACTTCCACAACAGTATTGTCAACTGTTTTCCTAATAGTGTGGCCATCGCTGTCGAGATCAGATCCGCGATAATCTACACATTTTCACAATCATTTCAATTAATAATTGATATTTTAGACAAAATGTCTTAAGACTTATGCAGTTATGGCTTACCCTTGAAAATGAGATTAAATATCAATTATTTAAATAATTTCAAAGTTATTTAAAACACGATTAATAAGACAACGAAGACATTGAACGGACGGATGTGTTGTTTCAATTGATATGATGGTTAACAACGAACCGGAAGAATAACGCAATGATAATAGGCTTTGGTGTGTATTTTGGGGACCAAATTGGATGTGATGTCTGAATAGGGGTTTAAAATTGAAGACAAAATTAATTAATTGTATAACAAAACAAATGCCACAAAACTAGTGGCAAATGGCAATCAAACACGTGTTATAAGCGATAGACTCATTGCATACAGTATTTGGCGATTGAATTGCAATTGTATTCAAACAAATTGCATAACAATTTGTATTGCATTTCAAACCCCAAACCAAATGTCAAAACAAAACATGAAATACAATCACGAAATGTGTTTTGATGTCTGCTTTTAATCACACAATCAATACATCA